AGAGAAAAGGTGGCGGAACTCAAACCTGGCCACGCCCTCATCAAACCCTAGGACCGCCCCTTTAGAGAACAGGAATGCAAGTAAAATTTGGGAGGGGCTATTTCCGGTGCGGGAGGGGCTATTTCCGGTGCGGCCGGCCCGGAAAAAGGTGCCGGAACGCGGTTCCGCCGCGTTCCGGCTGAAAAAAAGCCCTGTATATGTGTATACATATACATGTAGGAAAGCTATGGCAAATCTAGACAGCATACTGAAAAGCAGAGACATCACTCTGCCAAGAAAAGTGCGTATAGTCAAGGCCATGGTTTTCCCAGTTGCAATGTATGGCTGTGAAAGGTGGAGGATAAGAAAGGCTGAGTGCCAAAGAATCGAGGCCTTTGAACAATGGTGCTGGAGAAGACTCCTGCGAGTCCCCTGGACTGCAAGGCGATCAAACCGGTCAGTCCTAGAGGAGATCAACCCCAACTGCTCTTTAGAAGGCCAGATCCTGAAGTTGAAACTCAAGTACTTTGGCCACCTAATGAGAAGGAAGGACTCACTGGAGAAGGGCCTAATACTGGGAAAGATTGAGGGCAACAGAAGAAGGGGACGACAGAGAATGAGATGGCTGGATGGAGTCACTGAAGCAGAAGCTGTGAGCTTAAATGGACTCCAGAAGATGGTAGAGGACAGGAAGGCCTGAAGGAACATTGTCCATGGGGTCGCGATGGGTCGGACACAACTTTGCAACTAACAACAACAAAATACATATACATATTTATATATACAAACACACACACATATACATATATACACATACGCACACACATGTGCATGCGCACACACATATACACATATATGTGTGTGTATGTGTATATGTATATACACACACCACACACACAGACACACACACATATGCACATACATTCAGGTGTGGATGTATGGAAGTGTATGGATAGAAGAAAAGCTTTCCTTCCTTCCTTCCACACACACACACAAACACACACACACATCTATATATAATAAATAATCTCCCTCCTTCCCTCCCATATATACAGTATATATGTATGTGAATATATTACATGCTGCATTCATATATCAGCATATATGCATATTGCATTCATATATATGTATGCATTTATATATATATATGTACATATGTAACATATGCATTCAAATCTGCCTTTTAGATCTGTCAAGAAGGTAGTGATACCTTCTTGACAAATCTAAAAGGCAGATTTGAATGCATGTGTGTATGTGTATGTGTGTACATAGATACATAGATACATATATAAATGCATATATATATATATGAATGCAGTATGCAATATGGATATATGCACAGATATAAGAATGCAGCTCACTTGAGGCACTCACAGAATGGAAGGCAGCCCTGGGTGGGAGGTGCTCTTGAGGAACCATACGAGCAATACTCAAGGTGCTCCCCCAGGTCCTTCCCTCTTGACATCTTTTTTTTAACCTGTTGGATAAAGTTGGGTTCGCTTTGTCTAAGGAGAGAGGAGGGGGGAGGAGGAGACCCTTCTTCAGAGAAGCTGAATTGGGACTCCTTCTAGCTGCAGGTTCCTGAAAGTGCTCCAGGTAAATTAATTCTAGTGGTGAGGCTCTACCTTGTGGATGGATTCTGGAACACACCTTGGTGGGATGCTCTTTTTGGGAGGAGAGGAGAGAAAGCTACTGAAGCCTTTGCAATTGAAAGGAAGGTAAACTGCAGGTAAGAATGGTGGGATAGGAAAGAAACTGAGTTGAATTTAGATCCCAATGCTGATAAATCAAAGAGGTATGAATGCCCTTGAGTTTGGTGCTGAGATACAGGATTCTTCTTTTTCCTTCTTCCTTCTTCCTTCTTCCTTCTTCCTTCTTCCTTCTTCCTTCTCCTCCTCCTCCTCCTCCTCCCTAGTGTTATTTCTGCACTATGGCAGGGTCCAGAGTTCTTAAATTTGCTAAAAAAAATGAGAAAGTAGAAGGCTGGAAGCTAGCCCTAAGCTTTGGGAGAACAGTGGCATTCATCTATCAGGATGCCGGGCTCTCACCCTTATAAATGAGTAATAGAGAGCTGACAGTTTTCAGATGGTATTAAACTTCAATTTTCATCAGCCCTAACCAAAATGATCAATGGGTGTGGAGATGATTGAATAACAAGCTTCAAAAGGGAGGGGGGAAGTGGGTGAGGAGTCCAAGGTTCCCTTACACAGACTTACACTTTAAATGCATGAAGGGTAGAGCCAAATTCTTGTGCATTTTCCTTCTGGGTTTTTGAAAGGAAAAGCAGCTAGTGGTTTACTAGAAAGATGGGTCTCCGTGTGTATGCTAGTGACAAAACTAAATGCCAAAAACCCACCTAACTTTAATTTTATTATGCAGCGAGACAGGAATATTTGTTGGAAGAGTTGCTTACTCCACAGGAGGGCAGCAATGCCTCTCTCTGTCTCTCTCACTCACACCCACCCACAACATGGATACATACAACCCTCTTTTATTCCACATCGCAATTCTGTCCATCTTTGTTCCATCTCCCGCTGCTGCACAAGCCCATTAGCAACAGTACACACCATTCTTCCTCATAAGCTATCATTCCCACCCAGTTCAAAGAGACCCTCTTTGCTCTGCCTCTTTCACAGAATGACCCACACTTCTTTTTATTTGTACAGGGGTGAATACCTGTACCTTTCCACTTCACTAGCACATGATCCATTCCATTATGAAAGCATACACCCACCACACTTGAGATGAGCCTTCCCACTATTCTACAAAAAAACCCCCTTATTTTGGTCATTCAGCTTGTCCTAAATTCCTTACATTCATTCACTTGCCTCCTTTATACATTTCATGCATTTGTGACAAAATCTCCCTCTCTGATTACCTTGCCCCATAAAGTGTCACCTGTTCATCTTCTGGTACTTTGCATTAATACTGTACATCTGCTGCAAAGATCAGAATCTTAAAAGCACAAAAAGCAAAGGAAGACAGACAAAGGAATCCAAAATCCGCTGGAAGTAGATTCCAAAACATCCAAAAAAAATTGCTTGAAAGAATACAACTGTTTTCAGGTTTATCACAGAGTGCAGAGGTGGGGAACATCTCCTCAATTGTTTTTGCATAAAGATAGTCCTCGTTTAGCAACCAGAATTGGGACCGGAAGCTCCATTGTTAGGCAAAGGGGTTGCTAAGTGAAGCTGTGACTGTGCTTAGGATCTTACTTCAGCTTTCCTTTGCTTTACAGACCTTTTATAGCCAATGCTTTACAGACATTCATAGGTCTGTAAAGCATCGGCTATAAAGTTAGTTTTTCATCACTGTCATAACTACAAATGGTGATTCAATGAGGCAATTGCTCTCTGTTTTCAGTGTTTGACATCCTATGACTAACAAGTAGTGCTTGACTGGAATTGGGCATGGCTAGTCTAGTGAAAAGAAGGACTAGGGATGACATGATAGCAATGTTCCAATATCTAAGGGGCTGCCAGAAAGAAGAGGGAATCAACCTGTTCTCCAAAGCAAAGGTCCCCAACCTTTTGGGCACTAGGGACCGGTTCTGTGGAAAAAGGTTTTTCCACGGACCGGAGAGTGCGTGGTTTTGTGTTCTGCCTGCATCCCACAGATGGGGCTTTGCTTGTTTGTGTGGACCAGTTGTTGGCATGCTGCGGCTTGGTACTGGCCCACAGCCCGGGGGTTGGGGACCCCTGCTCCAAAGCACCTGAAGGCAGGACAAGAAGCAACAGATGGAAACTAATCAAGGAGAGAAGCAACCTGGAAATAAGAAGAAATTTCCTGACAGGTAGAACAATTATTCAGTGGAACAACTTGCTTTCAGAAGCTGTGGGTGCTTCATCACTGGAGGTTTTTAAAATGAGATTGGGCAACCATTTGTCTGAAATGGTATAGGGTTTCCTGCTTCAGCAGGGGGCGGGACTAGAAGACCTCCAGAGTCCCTTCCAACTCTGTTATTCTCTTATTCTGTTATTTTGGCTCTCATTTCCAATACTTCTGACTGCTCGGCCAATTATGAAAACTGGATCAAGAGTTTCATATATGAACTCTTATGCATATATTTTTCCTCTCTAATATTCACACACTTACCACAGACAAGCATGCAGATTTGTTCACTCACACAAGTGCACCATGCAAGTCTGA